CAATCCAAATATTTATCAAATAATGGTGAAAACGTTTAGTAAGCTTTGTGTATTGTTGCGGTGTGTACTTGCCGACAAATCATTTCATTATGTTCCCAAAGGGATAGTAGTTTCCCGATGTACGGGTGCTCAAATAAAACAAACATGGCTGCAAGTTATTTAGTGCTACATCATACATGGGGCGGTTGACCCAGGCTTTTCATTCCCACGCGGTTTTAACAGTTACTTTAATGAATAGCAATATGTCTTGAACTTCCATTATTTTTAGAATGACATCATATCATAAAGAGTCCAATACCGCGACATGCTTCAGTATCGACAAAATATCATATGTTAGGAAAAGAATAATAAACTTTGTGTTCCTAATATATAAAATTTACGAAACGAAAACACCCTCGGCTAATATTCTCTATAAGTGAGTGAGAGAGTGCGTGAGTTAAAATGCAACGTGAAATCCGCAGTGTCTTGACCATTTTAGTGACAAGAACAGTTATGTTGATAAATGCCACAAAGGACAGCAAAACATTCATTTTACAAATTTCGGGCCTAAGAACGAACCATTTCAAATACTTAAATATTCTAATCAACATACACATCAATATTACATTTTGAGCTTTTAAAATACAAGCACCAGCAACCAAAGCTAGGCCACCTTACAAGGGACGATAGTGATTTACATAACCTCAGCTAAAAGGCAAGTCCTGTTCACCTGTCACTAATACGTCATATTTGGAAATGTTCTCCATATGTCTGCTTCCATAAGACTTTTTTGTAAATTTACTGAGGCCTTGAATATTGCAACCTTGATCAGTAAAACGTTTGAGGAAGATTCGTATGACGCTCTTTAAAATCTAGACTATACTCGATTGTGCATCGAATGTTTTGATTTAGCCAATCTTACAGAGCTTTCGATTCACGTGCACAAAGATCAGCAAGAAGGGGAGCACAATTGGTGTTTTGGGGGATCCCTGCTTCTTGCCGTAAAAGGCGACTAACGGAATTGGGTGGTCATGCTCTCTGACTTGGCTGATGGATGTCATCTTATCCCAATTGCGTGGATCGATGGTCATAATTTTCAATCACTGGATAGTCTGGTTCATACTCGATTATTTACAGACCACCGTCATACAGATGGAATATCGCTGAATGAGGCATTAAACAACAAACAATCAAACTTCGTTTAGTGACAAATTCCCCATGGATCAGGGAAAGAAGTTTTTCCTGAATTTTCTGGTGGAACATCATTTATACGAAAACAATCTTACTTTAAATGTATAGCTAACTATGAGAGTACATATTACAAGGCTAAAGGCTTCGTTTCGTTTGATGACTTCACTCAAACAAACTCAATGTGTCCATGTTTTTTTCCTCACATGTCATAAGGTAGTGTTCATGTATCGATTCGGAAAAATAACCACATTCACACTGATTATCATTTCTTGTAGACAACATACTCGTGCAAGCGGGTTTCGCAAAATGGTTGTTAATGTTTAAGACTTGCATCATTTCAGGCATGACTTAAAGGTAAACTCATGGACATTCATGTCGTGAAAAACACATGTATGACAAGAAACGTACGGCAAAAAGGTATGGGTTGTTTTCCAAGTACAAATGACAAATTATCTATCTCTTTAGTAGTAGAAAATTCTTGAACAGTGTTATTTGTGTCATCTGTGTTACCCGTGTCACCTGTTCCCGAAACCAAGTGGACAACACTGTTCTTGGCAGTATAAGATAGAAACACACATGACCTCACAGATAAGGTATTATGTCATGTTACTGGTGAGGCATTATTGTGTTAAGGATGTTCTTCCCTTTCTATTTTGAAGGAACCTGGGGCAACTTGGCGCGACTTTGGCAGAGATGAAATCTAGAATACACAGTCCTCGACGTGGAATACACTATTTTTGTTTAATTATCGAGTGTGTGAGATGGGCTCAAAGCCGCTTTAAACAGTATTTCAGTTACATCACGGCGTGTCAGCTAAATGTGAGATAGCCCAAAGTGCTTTGTGAGCTTGGTATATAAATGAATATGGTGGAATTCATTTGCAAGCTATAGGATCCGTACAGATCCGGGGTAGAATGCTTGCCATAAAAGGCGACTATGCTTGTCGTAAGAGGCGACTTAAGGGATCGAGTGGTCAGGCTCGCTGACTTGGTTAATGCATTTCATCGATCGCAATTGCGTGGATCAATACACATGATGTCGATATCAATCACTGGATTGTCTGCTTCAGACTCGATTATTTACGTCAAGTAGCTTGAATATTGCTGAGTGCGGTGTTAAACAAAAACAAACAAAAGCAAGCAATAGTTTCCGTTTCTGACATGTCTCTCTGTAGTGATTCCTGGTTCATATCGTATTATTGGTGTATTATCCTACTGTTTGTAAATAAGCAGTATGTACAAAGTAACATATGTTCATGCTTCTTGTTAATAAATAGAATACTGATGAAACTGTTAGTAGTTTGAGTTACTTTTTTATCCGAATGTGCATTTAGCTACCCTGATTGGCTTAAGAAGAGGGTTGCTGCGTACATGTTTGTACGTGTAGAACCAGGTATTGGCTGTTTGTCATCTGTCCTGGAACTACAGACAGTAGTTTAAGCCTTGTATGTGTCTGTAGAGCCAGGTGATGCATGTATGTAATCTGTCCTGGAACTACAGACAATAGTAGCAGTCATGTCTGTACATGTAGAGCCAGGTGATGGATGTATGTCATCTGTCCTGGAACTTCAGACAATAGTTGCAGTCATGTTTGTGTCAACATGTAATAAAGGTCATAGGCCCAGGCTACAAAATCGTTTCCTTGAGTGAGGAAATATAGCATCATAATAGGTGATCTGGAGGGGTGAAACAGGGTTTGACCTCAAGTTCAAAATTATTGTGTTCATACATATCAACGGGCAAGCACGCACGTGTGCTTTCTTGCGGGCGTATGTGCGTGTGTGCTTGTCTGGCTGATTGTACTAGTCCAGATGTCAGACAAAAATGCTTTGTAATGCAGGCTTTTTTTGTTTATTCATCATTTGTATGGCGAGTGGTAGTCCACTTGGCCCCATTTGAGTACTGCCACAAGCTAATATGTAAGATTTGGTTACAGAGAAAACAGCCAACTGCCTAATAGAAAACAGCCATCATGTCTTAAAAAAACCGTCTGTGTGTCAGATTGTCGCAACATCGGCAATATTTCAGCCATATCGTGACTTTCAAAGGTTATACATAATAAACACATGTAAACTATAAAAACCTGTCAACAGGGGACAGTAAAAAAACTAGACATATCACAGATTATAATTTAAAACTTGCATGGAACCATAAAATACATCACTAGACAGAACAATGCATTATAAAAATGAGCTATAGATCGCCAGCAACTGAAGGTAGATCACCATGGTAGGGTCCATGGGGACTTACAGTACTTCAGCTTCCTGCATGGGCCCCAGCCGGATTTACAACATCCCTTCAGGTGTTGGCGATTCTTCTCAATTTAGCCGAATTGAAAGAACATATATTCTGCGATTAAAAACGTGGTAATAATAAATATACTGTGAATGACGTGGTACAATATCCAGCCAGGGCTCGAACTTTACCCTGATCTTTGACCCTGGTGGTGATCTTAGAGAAGTGGTTCATTGTAGAAGGAAGGCCAGTGCCATGAAGTTGGTCACAAATTTGTTTACATCGCGGTTATTGATGTAGGCAGTCTGTTACATACATATCGATATGTCATTATTCGCGCTAATACGTTATATACAGAACTGTGTTTAAGTGATGCAATATGCATTACGATACTAGAATGTTTTCGCATTCTCTGTGTGTCAGATTGTCGCAACCATCTCAAGAAATAGTTCGCAGTTTCCTCACTTCGGTCTCGTGGAATGTGTTGATAAGAACTCAGTGTGGCAGTACAGATTCAGTTTGGAATAAGTGGCCTGATAATTGAATTGTTATAGAACAAATCAGAGACAATATCAATTTCAATGCGTTTCTATTAAACATCATGTATCTAAAATACCTTAATGTTTCAATATGATTCCAAAGTGTACCGAAATTCTATCTCCTTTGTTTGTTTAACGTATACAGCAAACATTTGACGTGAATTACTTTCTTTAAAAACGTTTTAATTCCAAAAACCAATTAACTGAAATGGCCGTTTTCCCTGAACCGGTAGCCGTGTTGTCGAATATTTCTGTGGCCGTTTTAGGCGGTAGAAATTTTCTCCTTCATAGGTAGGTACACTGATCATGTCGATAAATCAGATACCTGCACAGCATGACAAAATATGTCATACTCAAGTGATTTTGATAAATGAAAATACATGTATGTTGACTTAAGATTAGCTTCAGTGACATTGTCATTCTCTCCTTATCACGAATGGGAAGTTTATCTTGAGTCTTGTACATTTGTCCTCATACTGAGAGAACTATTTCCTGGACGACAGTCCGTGCAACCGTGATCATGACGAGTGCTACCGATAGGTTGGTTTGGTTGGTTTGTTGTTTAACGCCGCACTCAGCAATGTTCCATCTACATGACGGCGGTCTGTAAATAAATGAGTCTGGACCAGACAATCCAGTGATTGACATCATGAGCATCGATCCACGCAAGTAGGATCGATGACATGCATCAAACAAGTCAGCGAGCCTGACCACCCGATCCCTTTAGTCGCCTCTTACGACATGCATATTCGCCTTTTACGGCAAGCATTACCCCGGATCTTCAGCGTTAGAACAGGGAATACACACACTCATGATTGATGCATGACATGCTCACGCTCATGACGGGTGCGTCTGACAGGGCGAATAGGTTTACCTGTATAGTTTGAAATTTCAGACATACATTGTGTGTAGGTTAGAGTTTGCAGTTTTAACAACGTCACCCTCAAACAGATGAATCGCTGAAACATAATACGACTGTTTACGTGTACGCGGCAATCAGAGCGTTACATTGGGCACCCGATATGCTGCCTTGCTGTACACTGAGAGCGAGTGTGTCTACTTCCTTGTTAGACTTGTTGCTTAACAGGTACGAGCGTACAGCGAAGTATTGCTGTTGCCGAACTTGGTGAGGTAAATATACATCTTCTGCATTGTTTCAGTCCTGGGCTATAATGTATAGCTTAGAACAAGGCATTTTCAATGGGGATTATGTGATGTGTCGCGTCCTGTATGATGTCTCTTCTGTCATGCATAACATTATAAAAATATAACATAAAACTTTAAAACTTGTAAAAGCTGTAAATAATTAAACAATTACAAATCTGTCATCAATAGTCAATCATATTTTTAGAATGAATTTAGAAATGCTCCGTGAATATTTTCTAAACTCAGACTAGTATCTATAAATGTATTATGAAAGGAAAACTATCCTAAATGCGTTTTGGAACTAACACCGAAAATATGTATGTAGCATTTTATTGACTATATACATCCTATCATATTTAGCAACACAGGAATGTTATTTTGAAACACGCATTGTCAAGCCCATTTTCGCTCACCTGTTGAAAAGTGATCACTGCTGATCGACGATATATACTGAATCAAATTAAAAACTTCACATTTTTAAAAGTAACCCCATATATGATATACAACGGACAAATGTATTAGAGAAGGTAATTTTTAATCAGTATTGTCCAAAGAAGGATTTTAATTAACGGTGGTAACCATAATTTGTTACAAGCACCTACGGTATTCGGTAATATCATCAACAGTTTAAATCATAAGTCCCAAGCACGAGAATCTGATGGCACACAAGTTCAGTAGCATGTATGGCCACCATGTGCGTTGACAACTGCCACACAACGTCTCCGCATGGACCGTGTGATGCTGGTGAACACATGATTGGGAAGACGACGCCATTGTTGCTGCAAAATGGTGAAAAGATCTTGCAAATTCTGTGGTTGGTTCTGGAGAGTGCGCAGACTTCTGCCAAGAGCATCCCAGACGTGTTCGATGGGATTGAGGTCGGGAGACCTTGACGGCCAGTCCATGACGTTGACTCCAGCATTATGGAGGAAATTCCTTGTCAAAATTGCTGTGTGGGGTCTGGCATTGTCGTGTTGGAAGATCAAATCGGGTCCATGTGCTGCCATAAAAGGCAGAAGTTCTGGTGCCAGTACCTGGTCGCGGTAAGCAGCAGCGTTGAGGTTGCCACGGATGACAAGAAGCCTTGAACGTGCATTGCCACAGAAAGCACCCCACACCATTACACTTCCACCTCGAAATCTGTCAACTTCCTGTACACAACACGGGGCGTAACGTTCATGACGGCGCCTCCACACCCTCGCCCTACCATCAGCAATTTGAAGAGTAAATCGGGATTCATCACTGATTCCAATTCCTCTGAGTTCATCGTAAGTATAGCTGTCGTGCTTGAAGGTGAGCAGTTCTCAGACGGTTTCGAACAGTTAGTGCACTCAGTCAAACAGTTCATTTCTGGTTGATGTGGCCGTCAAAAATCGGTTACCGAGGTGACGTAAGACAATCTGACGATCCTCTGCATGTGACGTCACGCGTGGTCGACGTGGTCGAGGGCGATCAGCGGTGGTTCCCGTTTGCTGTAGACGCGTCTGTAAATCATAAACAATCCGTCGACTACAACCCATCGTCCTTGCGACTTCAGCTGCAGACGTTCCCGTCTGTAACATGCCGATGGCACGTTCATGTTGCACTAGGAAAGGCTTGGCATGACAAATGGCTGTTAAGACTTTCGTTTTCTTGTGTTTTTCTTTTTTTTGTTTATGACTGCTAACAAGTATGGCTGAAAACACGTGCGGTATTTTAGCCACGTGACCAGTAACGCGAAAAAAAAAGACTTTTGCCACTATAGTGCTGTGCACATAATTTTGATCGATTCACCTGCACAAAAACGGGTGTTATCTGAAGACAGTACATGGCCATTACTGTTTAAATACACAATAAGGGCCCACAATGATAACTGGTCAAAATGTTAAAATTTTAGGATTGTGAAGTTTTTAATTTGGTTCAGTATAAATAGACATATTGCGTGAAATTTATCAGCGTGTACATCGCAGAAATATTAATCATGTCCATATATATTCACCATAACATTGAATGGTGATTCTTGAATATCAACAAAAGTTCAAACAAAAGATATCGAGAAACAAGCATGTGGCATGTTGATTTATAGTCTACTGTTGTCGGGTCACGGGATCATGCAAGGTCAAACGGATAAAATAATACGCCAATTATATCGACAAAGTCACATTTTTATTTCATATTAGCGGTGATTACTGATACTATGTATTGCCTTATGCCTTTGCTGTATGTGATAGGCGAAATAATTCAAAATTTACTGTAATTGTTTTGTTACGAAAGATTATCAGCAGACTACCCCTGTCTGTGACATAACATCCGGTGACTTTTGCACTTACTGAAATATTGCTGTCAGAATTCGAGATCTTTATTTCGACTCTTCTCTCGTCATATCAATCGGAAAATTACGAATGAAACATTCTGCGATTGAGCAGATCATCAACTCTCGCCAAGGCATATTTATAAAGGCAATGTAAACTTTGTTGATATTGAAATAGCAACACAATTTGGTGGTCGACCGAAGCGCGCCATGTTTGATTTTAGGACGTCTGCTAGCATCATGACACAGGTTTTGTTTATTTTTGTATATCGAAAATACTCAACCAAAACACTTGAAATTAGGATTGGTGAATATTTATAACTCATTAATTGAGGATTTGCATATTTGAGGGAAAAATTCTATTTGTGGTAAGATCAAAGGTTTTTGCAATTGGTGTGAATGTTGTATTATATATATTGGCGAGAGTCAATAAGAGACCAGAACAAACTGCCTTTGATCTGTCTACTTTGTGGAATAAGAGTTTACATTTGTAAAATGATCTCTCTAATCTGTCTGTACCATCAACTTTACTGCCCTCCCACACCACACACACACCTTTCCTCACCCCCTTCCTCACCCTGTAGCTAACCGTTCGTGCCAAGCCTGATCTAACAATAAGCCATATGGTGAACACCATATTATGCCTCGCAAAACATGTTGAGAATAAGCAGACTCACCGTGTCTTTTAACATTTAATAACAACTTAGCAAACATAAAAGCAGCATATACAATAACATCGAGTCATGATATATGCTCATCTTTGGTGTGCACCATTACTGGTATAGGTGGTGATGAGGCGAGGCCATATTGAAAATATATGACTGAAGTTCTGTGAACAGAGAATATTGTGGGGATCACAATCATGGCAGTTCCGCTTCATATAATCACAAGAAAAAAAAACGATACAAACATCATCCTAAATTTCAGACAATGATAGAACATTCCAGATCACTGAGGAAAGTAATCCGACTTTTTCACGTTTCGTGTCGTAGCGCTGTCTGATCTCACACGGGAGCCATATTCAGCACTGTGTGAACTTGGCTTTAGGCATGTGTTGTTGGATAGTGGATCGACGATCCTTGTGGATATTGTATATAATTCCTCTTCTCGTATTTCAATCGCCAAGACAGTGAATTATTTCGACGAAACGTAAAAAGAGATGCCAGGTTGTTTGGTTCTATTGTCCATAGGAGATAGGGATACACATATCTTGCAGAATTGTTTGGCTTGATACATTCCGACTCGACTGTCGTACATTGTTTTGTTGAGGCTCACTAACGAAAAAACATTTTACACACATTGTAACCGACATCATGTGTCTGTTTACGTATCAGGATCAAAACATTCTTTTGGAGTGTTTCATCCCCATCCACGAGCTTCGTCTTATGACACTAGACATCGTTACTGAATATGTTTTTTGCACCACCGGTTAGCTCCAGGATCCTCATGTATATACTTCAATTGTTGTCTTTATGGTCGAAAGGGGTTGCACCCTACCCTCTAACCGTGGGATAAATGCATAGTGTGAGATAGGATAAGTTTAAAACTGTCAATTTTACGATAAATTGTATATTTTAATACTTGTCCTATCTCACACGCCACATGCCCACCCCTCCATCCCCGCATCACAATTCCTCTTGCCTGTTATGCTTCAGAAAGAGAATGAGTTAGGTGGGGAAACCACGTGTTCAGCGCGTGTGGGTCAACCGGCAAGAAAAACATTCAGGACCCATATTGTGGGAGGTTACAATGGTGATACTAGGTGTGTTCGGATGAATTTGAGGGTAGTGCTCATGGCCGGGCCATATCTCCCAAACCATACAACTTAGCTTCTCAAAAGTTTTGACACCTATCAAGCAGGTTATGTAGTGGTGCCTTTGCTATTAACAGATTTTTTCGTTTTTTTCAATTTAAATTGAAAATTGATGAACTCCGGGTAATGTCCTCGTCTGGAGCATATCTTCTAAACCATGCGACAGAGATTCACCAAACTTTATGCACATATCAATCATGTTCACTAGTAGTGCAGTTTGTTATTTATAGATTTCAATCATTTTAATTTGTAGCCCCGACATGCTACGTCGGGGGAATATGTCACCTTCGGATGACTCTTGTTCAGAAGCTGGAATCCTTTATTTAGGCACGTTTCCACTAAGGATCGTTGGTGGAAAGAGAAATGCATTGTGTGAGATATCAAACAAAGGAAATATTAAGATTCCGTTTGTAGATTGCAAAGGCGTTATCCCATTTCGGGTCGAGGAGATACGAGTAATATTTAAGTAAAAAATCTCTTAAAAATAGAAATATCCGGACAATATCCAGAGAATAGTTCTTCAGCAACGCATGCTTGCCGTAAGAGGTGACTTTACTTGTCGTAAGAGGCGACTAACGGGACTGGGTGTGCAAGCTAACTGGCTTTGTTGATGCATGTCATCGTACCCACATTGTGTAGGTCGGTGCTCCTGATGTCAATCACTGGATTGTTTGGTCCAGACTGCCGTCATATAACAAATATTGAGTGTGGCGTTAAATTACTGCTCACAAGTTTGTCATGAGCCAAAAGAAAATCTAAGATTCCATTAATTGTAGATTTGAAAGGTTTCATAGACATTTCTGGTCAAGATGATATGAGTAATAATATGGTCCAAAATCTCTTAACATTTGATATATGATTCAATGCATTCATATTCTGCTC